ACGTTGTAGATGAGTCAGACTAACCAAATTTACACAGTGAGAAATAGGTAAGCTGAATAAACATTGTATCTTTGCTATAAAGAAATTGAATAAATATGCAATAACCTTGCAAAAATGAATCCTAGCTTCCAATGTTTTCATTAGGGAAATCTACAATATATTTAAAGAAGCAGTGTTAATAATTCTTCAGAAAACAGGAGCAGAGAAAGAAACATAAATCCATTTTCTGAAGTGTGAATTAGCCTAATTAAAAGCTCAAAAAATACATTAAGGGAAAGAAAAAGAAAAGAGCAATATTTCTTGTGGAATTAATCACAAATTTTAAGCAAATCCAATCCAACTCCTCTATAAGCTTCAATAATCAAAAGCTTACTTTTATGAATAGGGATCAAAATTCAATATCCAAATGTAATCAACTGCAGAAACAAATTAAGGAATGAAAGGAAACTGCGCTCTATTTTATTTAGAATAAATAAAATAATAGAAAATAAAAAATATTTATTCTAAATCACACAGACAAAAATGGACAAGATCAAGATTCCATTTATTACTTAAAATAATTATGTAGAGTACCCTCAATATAATCAAGAAACTTTAAAAAAAAGTCCCAAACACCTTTCAAATAGTCTTATGTTTAATGGTAAAAATGTAGATCGTTTCTTCCCCAATGAGTATCATGATCAGAATGTTCCTCCTACTGCATAGTGTTGGTAATGCCAGCTAACTAAACAAGGCAGTAAAAAGGAATTTACATATGTGTCCATAGAAAGTGCAGAACAAATTTTCTCTCCATGGAGAAAACAAGATAGCCCAGGAAGAAAAACTCAAAAAAAAAAAAAAAAAAAAAGCTAGTAACAGAACTCCTGTAACTAATATGAATTATATGCAGGTCATTTCATAAAAGGTGAATACCTCAAAACTTCAATTTCCTTCATAATTTCAATTAAAAATTGAAATTGGAGCTTTAATTTAAATATAACAGTACTTGTAGGTTCTGAAAGTGACAAGACCAAGTCAGCAATGCACAGGGGATTTCTGTCTTGTTTCTTTTTAAAGAACAATAAGGTTTGATACTAAAATAATGGTATATACAGGACAATAATCATCTGTGGAAAATCTATGAATTTCTTTAACACAGAGTAAGCTTTATTATATGCAAACTGAAAAGCAATTTATGAGGTCAGAACACAGCTGGGTGTACTGGCTTGGTTTATGTTAACTTGACACAAACTATAGTCATCTGATAGGAGGAATTCTAGACTGAGAAAATGCCCCCCATAAATTCAGGGGGCCAGCCAGTAGAGCATTTAATTAGTAATTGATCAGTTATGGCCCAACCCGTTGTGGGTGGTGCCACCCCCTGGGCTGGTGGTCCTGTGTTCTATAAGAAACCGGCTGAGAAAGCCAGAGGAACAAGCCAGTAAGCAGCATCCCTTAATGGCCTCTGCATCAGCTCCTGCCTCCAGGTTCCTGTCCTGTTTGAGTTCCTGTCCTGGCTTCCTTTAATGATGAACTACAATGTGGAAGTGTAAGCCAAATAAACCCTCTTCTCCTCAACTTGCCTTTTGGTCATGGTATTTCATCACAACAGAACCCTAAGACACTGGGTGATATGGAGATTGTGACAAACAGTGCAGTATGACTGAATAAAACAGTGTCACTGATAGGGACAGAAAAATAAGATACTGACCTCAGTGCCTTTGGAAGTCCATGGAGTCTATAAGAATCGAGGCAAGTACATACATACAACTGAACTCTAGCAGATAAAAGTTGTTTCTCATGGACCTGCAAGTTGTCTATTATGTTATAATTATACATGTACACCCAATTGAACATACATTTAAGAGGGATATCTGGCTAGTGAATGAGGAATTACAAATAAGAATAGAAATTGGAAGCCAGGAATGGTGGCACAAGCCTTTAATTCCAGCACTCCAGGGGCAGAGACATGCAGATCTCTGTGAGTTCTGGAATAGCCAGGGCTACACAGAGAAAGAATGTCTTAAAAAGCCAAAAAAAAATAAAATAAAAAGAAAGAAAACTGGATTGGACCAGATTACTCCATGTGGTAATGGATTAAATTTGAAAACATTAGTAGGAATTCATTTTAGATTTATACAGATGCAGATGGTTATAGAAAAATCATATGTACAAATATAGGATAGTGTTATGTTTGTGCACATGTGTGTGTGCATGTGTGTGTCTGTCCACAAGCAGATGTGTGTAGCATTGCTTTATTTAGCTAAGTAATCTTAGATATAATGACAGAGAAGTAATATGAACATTCTTAGTAACAAAATCTTGATTTAAAATACTAGTATCCAAACACTGAATGAAGGACCCTTAGGATATACGGTTGACCCTAAACTGAAATAAAAATATTCACAATGAGTCCTTTCCAGACTAAACAGAAAACAGAACACAAACAGAATAAAGAAAAAGTGAATAAAACCCATTATAAAGGACACATAGACACCACGTGAAGAAACATCTGAGCAACCTGAGCCCTGCAATGAAGTATATTAGACTGATTATATTTCATATGAAAGGTAAATAAATAAAGAACATGAGAGAACCAAGTTTCTTCTCAGAATACCATGATTGAACCAAATACCTGCAGCAGGAAGCTGCACAGACAGTGCTCCATGACTATTACATGGTCAGGCGAGAATGGAGCTTTATTGTCCTGCTCTTCCTCACAAAACATGTTACCACACTCTAATGCTGAGAACTATCCAACAACTTCAAGGGGGCTGAGGACCTAGAGCACATAAAAACTGCTCAGTTCATAAAATCTAAGGAGCTTCAACAAGAGAGCACAAGAAAATGTTATTGATTGAGTGCAAGGTGGCATTATGGAGGAGATAGAAACCAGAGAGAAGGTATGAATTAGGAAAATTTGGATTAAGTTGTAATTATTTGCCTAAAAGATTAGCAAAAACTAATATCCAAAGTGACCTAGAAAAATCCTACAAATTATCACAGTAACAGCAAAATTATAGCTAAGTCTTACTTGTGGACATAGGTGCAACATCACTAAGTCATACAGTAGGAGAAATGATTTTTCTACAGGACTTGATCTTGTGTCTCAACAGAGTGACCTTCACTGGTATGCTAACTTTGCTAGTGGTTGAACCCATTCCCATCCATCGTTTGCAGAAAACCCTGTTCATGTTACTAAATTTAATGGTAAAGTAATAAAAAGAGGCTTGGAATTTGCAAAGCTTGTAATTTAACACAAACTCATCGTTATCTTAGTTTCCATTCACTTATTTGTTTTATTGGAACGGGACATGTATGTGCAAAGGCGCATGGGTGGAGGTCAGGGGACAGCTTGTGGGAGTCACAGGTTCTCTCCTTCTGCCATGTGGGTTTCAGGCATCCAGTTCCGGCCATCAGTCTTGGCAGACTCCTTTACCAGCTGAGGTATCTTACTGGCCCCACAAAATCAGCCTTAAATTTTTCCTTTCCAAGTTTTCTTTCAACTATTTATCAGCTAGTCACACATTAATCACACACTCTCCTTAAAATATTTAGAGTAGAGGGAGGGACGGAGAGAGAGAGAGCAATGAAAGAGATATCTTGGTAGAAGGAACCATCAGGGGGCTAGGAGAAACCTGGTGCTAGGGAAATCCCCAGGATTCCACAAGAATGATCCCAGCTAAGACCCATAGCAATAATGGAGAGGGTACCTGAACTTACCTTCCTCTACAATAACATTAATGACTACCTTAAGTGTCGTCATAGAACCTGCATGCAGTAACTGATGGAAGTAGATGCAGAGATCCATAGCCACGCACTGGGCTGAGTTCCTAGACCTTAGTTGAAGAGAGGGAGGAGGGATCACAGGAGCAAGTGAGGTCAAGATCACGATGAGGAAAACCACAGAGACAGACAACCCAAGCTGTTGGGAGCTCATGGACTCTGGCCTGTCAGCTGGGGAACATGCATGGGAATGAACTAGGCACTCTAAAAGTGGGTGACAGAGAAGTGGTCAGATCTGTTTGGAGAGCCCCTGGCAGTGGGACCAGGACTTATCCTAGATGCAGGAAATGGCTTTTTGGAACATATTCCCTAGGGTGGGGATACCTTGCTCAGCTTTGACACAGGCAGGCAGGGGCTTGGTCCTGCCTCAAATTGGTATGCCAGACTTTGTTGACTCCCCAAGAGAGGCCTTACCCTCTCTGAGGAGTGGATGGAGGGTGGGACTGGGGGCAGGTATGGGGAAGGAGAAGGAGAAGGAAGGAGAACTGGGATTGGTACGTAAAATGAAAAAAACTTTTTAAAAATAAATTAATTAAAAACATATTTAGACAGTAGCTCTGTTCTCTTAAATAGAACTTTTTGTGCACGTATACAAACATAAGCATGCATTTTACTATAACCATGTTGGAAACAAACCAAATAATCAGAATTTTCAGTGTCATAAGTTACTGCCCAACCACAGTATGAACTTCTCTCCCTTGCTTAGCACTAGGGGATCCCATGAATTTTGTCAATTATATGTGAACAACAGTGGTGACAACAACTTGCAGCAGTACATCTAAAGACAGACTTCTGCCTTTCCTTGTTTTCTCACTGCATCCATCAAGCATTCAAAAGCTAAGGAAGAAAGTTCTTGTGTATATTAACAAAGGCGTAGACACAAAATAACAAACACTCTAAACCTTGATAGGGCAATACAGGAGGCCCCTGTAACTGATATGAAAAGAGTCATTGAACACTGGGGACTTTTGGATGAGGGGGGGAAAATGCACTGTTTGGCTATTCACCCAGTATTGTCTGGTTCCAGATAAAGTGGTTACAACTCTCCCCTCATTAGGATATGTATAACTCTACATGACTATACAGACACCTGAATGGAACTTGTGACCCAAATGCTTTTGCAAGGATTCAAAGAAAAGCTCACATCCCAAATGGACAAACCCGAGAGGCCTCCAAAGCCTCAGGACAGACATTTCCGAGATGTCGGATTTATCTTACCCTGCATGTTTACTAACCTCCAAAGTAAGAGCCATCTGTCAGCTTCATTTCTTTACTGGACTTGGTGATGACACCAGCAACGCCATGCTGGATGAAATACATTTTCTTCCCCACGGCGCCTTCTCGAATGATGTAGTCTCCAGGCTGGAACACCTCAAATCTCAGCTTGCTCAGCATGGCCGTCACAAAATTGGGATCCGCGTTAGCGAAAAGAGGCATCGTGGCCACCAGTTTCCGGCAGTTGAAGTTGACTATTTCCTAAAGGTGGCAGGAGTAAGCACACAGGAAGAAGAAACTGAGTCATATCTGGGAGAAAAGTATATGTTGACCTTAAAAACATGTATATACACTATAATGGTTAATTTATGTTTATAAAAAATACATGGAAATTGTAGTCCACATATGTCACCAATGTAGTAAGTTTTCTTTAAATTTGTACTAAAGTTTCATTCCAGCACTTGATGTAGCAGAGAGATACAATAAATATTCAATAATATATTAATTAAATAATAAAATATCAACTGTATTAACCTAATGATTTATTTTGTGTTTGAAATTACAACTTAAAGTCCCATAACTCCTAGGTGCAATGCTGCTTGTCCTGTATTTCATGATGCTGAACAGCCTACCCAGTACCCACTAGCAGGAGTTATAAAAGAAGAAGAAAACAGATGTAGCCGGTTTGCATTTTATTTTTTAAGTATCATTCACATTAGAGTGGAAAAAATGGAGAGCAGATGTTACCAAAGGCAACCAGTGAATGATTGTAGATGAAATCTGATTTCTGCTTGGCAAGAACAAACCATCTTTCCGAATCACCCACTGAAGCCAGAGCTGGAGAGAGAACATCTATCTTTTCCCTGTCTCTTATTTGTTGTCTAGACAGTCTGAAGATCTACATGTTTGGCTTCATTTTGCAGATTTTAGCTCTGATTAAAAATATTTGTGTCTTTCTATACTAAAACAGGGATATCATAAGTGTGTTATTGCAAACATTAGAACAGGCAATGGTAATGGAAATGTTACCATTATGACATGTCTTCTAGCTTCTTCATAAAAGAACCTAGCATCAAGGTATCTTCCATCAAAGAATATATATACATATATATATATATATATATATATATATATATATGTTGTGTTGAGTTTGTAATCTTGTTTAAGAAGCATAGAAACTGAAGTCATTCCGCATAGGAGGTGGAAACACAATGAAATGAAAGTATTAACAAAATTAGAGCATTTAAAAGCTCTATCTGGAAAAATATGTTAGTGCCAAAGCCAAAACAGAATTCCTTGATGTTATTTTACAAAATTGCCTGATTTATTTCTCGGCATCGGTAAAAATTTCTAGGTGCTGAATAAAGTAAATTTTATAAATGCATACAATAGGACATGAATCAGTCAAGAAAGAGGGTGAAATTCTGTCATTTGTGGCAATGAATGTTATCAGAGACCGTTGTGTTAAAAACAAAGTAAGCACAGAAAGAAACAAGCCACACAAGTTCCTTCAGATGTGAAATCTGAAACAGCTGATTCCATAGAAGCTTAGAGAGAAGGAAAGAGTGATAATAAGAGGTTGAGCTCGAGATATCAAGTTATGGTTCGTTATCATGAAGAAATTCTAGTGTGTGATTCCACCAGACAATAACAATATGCCGTACATTTCTGAAAGCTAGAATAAATCATTTTGAATGGTTGTGCTATAGAAAAACAAATGTTTTAAGAAACTAGGCATGTTTACCTTTATTTTCAAGAGTTCACAATAAATAGATGTGTTAAATATCTCATGAACATCTATAATTTGTATTTTTTATGCATAAATTAAAAAATCAATTCCATTTAAAATAATCCCAAATGGTAACAGAAAGCACAATGTAATACTGTATTGATAACAATCATTGTTGAACGCTGCATTTGGCAAAACATCTGATTCTTTTGCATACTATCATGCTTATTATTATTCTAAACAGCATAGCTCTAAAATGTTTTCAGAATGATAGCTATAAATATAATTACCATGATTGCACAAATGAATCAGAGTGCTCTTAACAAATGAGGCTGTTGGAACATTGCTAAATCACACCTCAAACATGCTCTATATTTTTATACCGTGCAGAAGACAGGATAGCTTCCTTCTAGGAAATTAAAGACATTAACAAGGCACACAGACCTAGAGATTCTTAATTATTACCTCTTCACCTTTCTCAGTATTGCAAAGGACAGTTGGTCAATCTGTAGCAAGTGAAACTTCATCCCCTAGAATGTTCTATTAAAGAATGCTACCATTATTGTCTCATTTTCTTTCTCATCAACTAGCCTGGACTAGTTGTACTCAAAAATATCAATTGGACATCTTTAGGGACATTTTTAAGGTGGATAATTTCATTTTTGAGAATTAATGTTCTTGCTGAGTGTGGTGATTTGAATGAGAATGGCCTTCATAAACTCATAAAATTTTTTTTTTGGTTTTGTACCTTTCTTGGGACTCACTTGGTAGCCCAGGCTGGCCTTGGACTCACAGAGATCCGCCTGGCTCTGCCTCCCAAGTGCTGGGATTAAAGGTGTGCGCCACCACCACCTGGCAAGCTCATAAATTTGAATGCTTGGTCTCCAATTGGTGGAACTGTTTGGGAAGGATTAGAAGGTATGGCCTTATTGAAGTAGTGTGCTACTAGGATTTTTTTTTTTTTTTTGAGATTTCAAAAGCCCATGTCATTCCCAATTAGCTCGCTCTCTTCTCTCTCTCTCTCTCTCTCTCTCTCTCTCTCTCTCTCTCTCTCTCTCTTTCCCTAGTATGTATTTTTTCTACACGTAAAGTAAACTCTCATCTTCTGTTCCAGCACCATGCTTGCCTGTCTGCTGTCATGCTCTCCACTATCATGGTCATAGAATCTAATCCTCTTGAACTCTCTGCCCCCAAATTAACTGCTTTCTTTTATAAGTTACCTTTGTTGTGTTATCATACCACAGTAATTGAAAAATAACTAAGGTACTGGGTTTCAAGTCTCTTCAAGAATTTTACAAAAAGTAACTTTTATCACAACAAACCTGTTTCATGTTATTCTTGCTGAATTGTCTACTGACCACACTCTTGTAAGAGGAGGTAATATGGTTTAAGTGTGAGATGCCTGGATTGGCATTTCAATAGTTAAGGTTTTTGATGGTTTCTAAATAACCACTGTTACCATTAGTATCTGCAATCACCATAAACTAGGAAGTTAAAAGACAACCAGAAACTGGTCTTGAATGCAGGTATTTGGGGAGTTTTTTATGGACATTTGATTACAGATAAGGCAAACCAATGACTAGTCATCAGACTTCTTTTTCTCTGAGAACAATGCTTTCTAAACAGTATGCAACTGCTTCTGTAAGTGACAAAAAGTGTGTTCCAGTTTGCCACAGTTTTAAAAACACAATTTGCAATTAATATCTTGCTCTGTTTTACAACTTACCTATCCTACTTATTATAGGGGAGTTGTATTCGGGTCTCTGAACTGTAAAAGGAAGATCTTATAAGACAGAGAGGGAGACTGCTGGTTTTGTTGCTGGTTAGAGAAGTGGGAACAGGAGGTAGTCGTGTCTTGTACCATAAAGTCCGCTGTGACTAAACCAAACACCTTCATGCCTTGTCAGTGACTTCTTATTTCTTGCTTTAAAAACTGTTTCGTTTATTTTTTCTTCAATAGTAGATATATATGGCTCTTTTTGTAAAATCCCAAAAGGGACATTATAATTTAATCTGAGTGCAATTTAGGGATGCAGAAGAAAGGGAAAAGAAACAAGTTTCATTAATTATCCACTGACATACAGTGCTTTACATTTTTTTTTTTTTTTGGCTAGGAGAAAATAATTCAAGAATAAATTGAATTTTTTTTATATTTCCACATATGCAGGAGAGAACAGACATAAGGGGAGGGAAGTCATAGCCCAGTTCACAAGATCAAAGTATATTCAGAGACATTAGCCAGTTTAATCAGCTTGGCTTTGTCACCTAGATCAAAGTCACAAAAACTAGACGCCCCCACAGTCTAAACCTTCATATTCTGCAATTGTCTGAACATTAAGATGAAAAACGAAAATCACTTTTAGCATGAGTTTTTCCTAGTTTTATACATTGCAACTATCATCCTTTTATTTTTCTTAAATGCCTCTTTCAGGCTATTTAATTTTGACTACTTTTAATATATTTTATGTAGTATATATACCTTCTTGACAGATTATTTAATTATGATTCATTTATTACTGAGGTTTTTTTAATTCATAATTATATTTAATAATATATTTACCAAAATACTTACATGTATTTTATATGTGAGGTTCAAAGTGTGCCTTGGGCTGCTCTAATATATTTAAGCAAAATATTTTTTGAAAACTAAGAGAAAAATTTATTCCATGTGTTAAGTTAATTTTGTCTTATATGATCATTTCTATGTTGGGTAAACAGGAAGCATTTCCTGTTTTTCACCACGAAATTGGCATAGATTTCAGAGCGGGAGAAAGCAAATGTCACAAAACACAGCTAGTGATTCAGAATGATTTCGGTGAGCAAGAACACAGACCGACAAGAATTTATTTCTTTTAAAAATCCAGTGGTATACTGTTGTGTGAAGCACCGGGCATCCGTGTCTGCCTAGCTACAAAATGTAAGCACTCAAGAAATGCAGCCCTAGAAACTTCCATATGCAAGCGATTCTGAGCAGACATAGCAGGTTGTATTCCTGTGTTGATGCATGTGCATGTATAGGCAGCAACGTTGGCTAGAGAAGAGGCCACCATGAACTTAGTAGGGGGATGCAATATGGGAGGGGTAGAACAATGAAGAGGGAGGGGAGAGATGATATGTTTTAGTCAAATAATAAAAGTGTATGGATTGTGAGGAAACAGGCTACAGGTGACTGCCCTGACCCTGCTGAGAATAAATACAAACATAAGTAGACTATGTGTGCTTTCTACTTTTATGTCACTTTGACACAGCTATATATAGTCATCTGAAAAAAGGGAATCTCAATTGGGAAAACAGCTCCTTAAAGTTGGGCTATAATCCGACAAGCTTGTAGGGCATTTTCTACATTAGTGATCAATGGAGGAGGGCCCAGGCCATTAAGGGTATGGATCCCCCTGGGTTGGTGATCCTCCACAGCCAGGCCCCACGTGGAGCTCCAGGAGTCCAATCAGCGAGAAAGAAGAGGGATTGTATGAGTAAGAGTTGTTGAGAACATGATTGGAAAAAGCACAGGGACAAATAGCCAAACTAGTGG